AAGAAAGAGCTCAAAGTATGGAACAAGGAGATTTTTGGAGTAATTGAGAACATGATTGAGAAAGCAAAGGAGGAAATTAGAGTAATTGATGAGAAGAATGAGTTGGGGAGTATTAATGAAGAAGAAAAGAACAAAAGGGTAGATAGCTTTAAATAATTACAAGAATGGGCGGATATAAGAAATAACCTGTTACATCACAAAGCAAGACAGAAATGGCTAAAGAAGGGTGATTCAAATAGTAGGTATTTCCATTCTTGTGTGGTTAGAAGGAGAAATCAGAATAGCTTGGTTGGAATTATCCACAATGGTACGTAGATGGGTTGATGAAGTTCAAGAGGTTAAGGGAGCTGTAAAGGAGTTTTTTTAGCAAAAATTTAAAGAAGACAGTTGGGGTGGATCGGTAGTGGAAGGTATTGAATTCAAGAAGGTGAGTGATGAGGATAATGCTATGCTTATGGCAGAATTTTCAATAGAGGAAACAAAAGAGGCAGTGTGGAGTTGCGGAGGTGGTAAAAGTCCTGGCCTACACAGTTTTCATTTTAATTTCATCAAACAGATGTAGAGTGTATTGAAAGAGGATATATGTGGTTTCATCAGAGAATTTCATCAACATGGGAAGTTGGTTTGAGGTTGTAATGCTTCTTTCGTTGTATTAATTCCCAAGAAGTCAAATCCGCAAGGTATGAATGATTCTCACCCTATTTCTTTGATTGGGTGCATGTATAAAATCATTTCAAAGCTTTTGACAAAGATTGTGGAAGGTGATGAATAGCATAATCACTGAAAACCAGTCAGCATTTGTGGGGACTAGGCAAATAACTGATGGCATTATTATTTTAAATGAAGTGATACATGATATGAAAAGGAGAAATAAGACAAGACTAATCTTCAAGGCTAATTTTGAAAAGGCATACAATAATGTGGATTGGGGATTCCTAGACTTTATGCTAGACAAAATGGGATTCTGCTCAAGATGGAGAGGCTAGATAAAAGAATGTTTGTCAACAACAACAGTTTTAGTGCTCATTGATGGTAGCCCAACAGAAGAATTTAAAGTGGGAAAAGGATTGAGGCAAGGTGACCCTCTTTCACCATTTTTATTGTTGATTATAGCGGAGGCTTTAAGTGGTCTAATGACAAAAGTTGAGGAGCTTGGGATTTTAAAAGCAATTCAAGGTAGGTAATGGGGAGCTGGCCATATCTCATTTACAATTTGCGGATGATACCATCCTATTCAGTGAAGCAATAGATGAAAATGCATGGGCCATGAAATGTATAATGAGGTGTTTCGAGTTGATTTCCGGCCTCAAGGTGAACTATGATAAAAGTTGGTTATATGGCTTAAATGTTGACAAGAATACAATTAAGGAGCTGGCATCAACTATGAATTGTTTGATGGGGAGCATTCCTTTTAAATATTTGGGAGTACTTATTGGAGCAAATCCTAACAGAATCACTACTTGGCGCCCAATGATTGATTGTATAAGGAAGAGGCTAGACAGTTGGAGGGGAAATACATTATCGTTTGGTGGGAGAATTGTCTTTCTCAATGCTGTTCTATCTTACTGACCCGTGTATTTCTTCTCAATATATAAAGCCCCAAACAAGTTAATTAAAATACTTACCAAGCTTCAACATAATTTTTTGTGGGGTGGGGGTAATGGCGATAGAAAGATAGCAGGGATAAAATGGGAGGTGATATGTAGGAAAAATTCAAAGGGAGGGCTAGGTTTTAGGAATCTTGAGAGCTTCAATAGAGCCTTATTAGGAAAGTGGAAGTGGAGAATTTTGAGGGAGAAAGAAGCATTATGGAGAAAAGTTATATTCAAGTTATATGCGTCTAAGGGGATGGGAAGGGTGTATACAAAATGAGAAAGGGTTTGTGTGGTGGAAAGAGTTATGGAAATTGGAGAGGGAGATAGCATAAATATGGAATGGTTAAAGGATGGGTTATAAGAAAGGTAGGGGAAGGCAAGGAGACACTGTTTTGGGAAGAGGTGTGGATAGGAAGTGTGAGCTTGAGGGAGAAGTTTCCAAGATTACCTTAGCTACTAATAAACAAGCCATAATAGCTGAGGTAGGTAAGAGTGGGGAAGGTGAAGGAAAATGGGGGTGGGAATGGCGTAGGACCTTATTCATTTGGGAATCTAATCTTTTGCAGGAATTGGAAGAAATCCTAAGTCAAGTACATTTGCAACAAGGACGAGAGGACTGTTGGGTATGGAAATGGGAGAGCACTGGAAGATACTCAACTAAATTTGCCTATAACCAAATCACCCATTCACGATTAAGGCAAGATATAGATCACTTTAAGTAGATCTGGAATGGATCATTGCCCTTAAGAGTTGCAGCGTTGGCTTGGAGATCCTTGTATGACAGATTACCTACAAAAGACAATCTAACTAGGAGAGGAGTTATAAAGAGGAAATCATATGCAGTTTGTGCCTAAATGAAGAAAAATCCTTGGCTCATTTGTTGTTTAAATGCCCAATTTCTTGGAAGCTTTGGTCTACTATTTATCTTGGTGGGGTTTTTACTCAATAGCTGAGGTTGATATTCAAAGATATTTCAAACAACATATGGGGCTCATTTACAATAAGGCGTTCAAAGAAGCTTGGAAGGTGGTGTGGTTTGCAACCATGTGGACCATATGGAATTGGGGGAATCAGAAAGTATTTCGGAAAGAACAAGACAAGGAAGAGGACGTTGGTAAGCTCATCAAATACATGTCTTTCTACTAGGTAAAGGCAAAACTTTGTCCTGATTTGAAGCAAGATCTATGGAAGGAAAACCCCAAAATGGCACTAAAAGGGCAAGCTACGAACTATTATTTGAAGTGGTATGCTATTCCTAATATTTTTGTATTGTTTTCTTTTATGGGAAAGGCAATAGCAATGTAAGTTGTGGATTGTATAAGGGTTGGGTATCCTTTGTACCTAAGGAAGTAAATTTTTGGCTTATCAAAAAAAAAAAAAAACTTACCATACTTAAATTATATTCTTTCCAATCATACTCCAACGGTCATAATCCTTTGATTGAGCAATTTTAAGGTATATATATCACATCTTGAAGTAGAGAAGAACATAAGAAAGAAGAAAAAGGTGAAGAGCTTTCAAACTTAGAAACAAAGAGAGATTGAGCTTCCACTTTTGTTTTTTGAGAGATCAACTCTTTTATATTCTTGTTCTTGTTCTCTTTCATTTTAACAAGTGATAGAGGAATTGGGAAAACCTTGTTAGATTTAGTAATCCATCCTTGAGATATAGGAAGCGTTGTGAGATTTATAATAAAGGAATTGAATGGTTCAATAGCACCCGTAAGCTATTAGGAAAGTGATTGGGTAATCTTGTTAAATCTAGAGAAAACCAACCTTGTGGTATAGGATTGGGTTTGTGACAGATTGTAACAAGGGGTTGAATTGTTGAAACTGAATAGCACTGACAAAATTATTGCAAATAGTTGCCTTTACACTCGAAAGTTCGAGGAGAGATTTTGAATCCAAAACTAACTCTCAAGTAGGTGGCTTAAGAAGTGGACTGCACACAAATTGTGATCGAACCACTATAAATCCTTGTGTTTGAGTCTTCTATTTCCTTAACTTTTAATTTCTACACTTTAAATTAGTTGTTTGCAATTGCTTGTGCTTCTTCATTATTTTGTTTTTGAAGTTATAAAGTTTTTGAAAATCCAATTCACCCCCTCTTGGGTTGCCATCTAGGCCAACATATTTAATTGGTTAACTATCAATTTTAGTGCTTAAATTTTGAATTTTGAACACTTTTCAATTTAAAATTATTTTCAATTTTTTTATATCTCAATTGTAAAAAAAAAAAAAATTATTATTTCATTAATTAAGTGATGATCTGGTCATTAACTCATTTAATATTTAATTTTTAAAATTCTTTATGACATGTTCATTATAGATGAATATGTCAGTTTTGTTAGACAAAATATATATGTAGAGTTTATATTTGTAATTTTAGCATAAATGGGTAAAATAATAAATTTAAAAAACTAGAAACTATCCAACATAAAATTTATTTATAAATTAAAATATTTAAATCTACAAAATGATAAAAATACCCTGAAAATCTTTTTTTTTTTCCCTTCTTTGGGAGTGTTTGTTTCAGATGTTAGAGAATAGCTATCAGCAGTTAGTCCTAATCGAGTGGTTCAAACATTTTGAATTATAAATAATAACAATTATTTTATGTTAAATATTGATTATCAATCAGGAAAATGATAGATTCACCCTGTTGTCCTACACACTCCATTATACCCTTCATTTTCCGTTACTTTCGTTAATTACACCATTAACCAGCCAACCCTTTCTTTCTCTCCTTTCCTTTTTCCTTCTTGCTATTCATAGTCCTCACTAGCCAGATCCATCTTCCTCCTCACCTCCATCCTCATCCCTAATCAACCAAACAATTTTCTTATCAACCAAACAACACATCATATTATCAAATTTGTAAAAATTCTAACCAAAATTTATAAAAATTCATTATCTTCTTCCTCTTTCCTTCCTCTTTTTTTTTTTCTTAAAATTTTCTCTCCTCCGTCATCTTCCTCCAAGAGAACCTGTGAATTCTCCTTCAAACAGATCAAAGGGGATGGGGGAAGAGAAGGAAGAAGAGGGAAGAAGAGGGAAAGAAGAAGAAAAAGAAAAGAGGAGGAAAAAGAAGGAAGGTTGAAAATCAAACAATGTGAAATTGCAGATTGGATGGGTTGGATGTATTTGGGTGTTAACGGAACGGAAAGTAACGGAGTAAGTGTGTGTTATAAAATAGGTTAAACCCCCATTTTGGTCCCTCAACTATCGTACGGACCCCCGACTTAGTCCCTCAACTCAAAAAATCCCTGATTTGATCTCTACTGTTTACCATTTTGACCTCGATTTAGTCCTTCCGTTAAAAATCCGTTAAAAATCTAGTGACGTGTCCTTGATTAACAAAAGCACGATGACATGTCAACAATAAAGTGATACCTCAAACGCATACCTGGAAAAAAAGATGACATGGCAGTATGACCCATTCTGCCCCAAAACCAAACAAGAAAAAAAAGTGGGTCCCACCTCCTGCAAAACCTGAACCTTCTCCCCCTTTCTTCCCTAAACCCATTCGAACCTAGAACAACAGTGCTCTCCAGTTCCTCAGCAAGCCTTGCCTTCTTCATCATCATCAACCAACCAAATCCACAGAAAAAAAA